ATTCACGGGATCGATGTAACGAAATAAAACAAAACAAAAAAAAAAAAAGAAAAAAAAAGAGGCGTACTGCGCTGTTATAAATAATTGATAGGCAAATATCGAGGTAAATCGATTAAAACGAGCTGGCCCTGGTTAATTCCGTGAAACATGAATCGGAAGAGAGTCGCAGGTGTACGAGAAATCGTGCAACAACGGGACAACGTCCGTGGAATATTTTTTTGGACACGATTAATAGAAGGACCCGTTGCGTCGCTCGTGCAGCAATTTAAAACCGCAAGGATAAAACTTGCCCCTCGCTGTTCGTAGATACAAACGGAACATTCCTAGGCAGGAATAAACGGCCCAATCCCCGCCTCGCCGTGTGTATTCAAATAACACGCAACTTCTCGTTAAGTCTGGACCCATGGTATAAAACGTGAAATTATTTTGCCAACTGGGACCTCAATGGAACAAGTTCGTGTGTGTGTTCGTGTACACATTACCGAGGATAAACTCATTAAAGTATCATATTAGCGTTTCCTTCTCTGGATCGTCATCCTTTTTTAATAATAACCGAATTAACCGCCCCAAAATGGGAAAAGCACTGTAATTCTTTGTTTGCACATATCATCGAGCAATCAAATTATCACGGACTGAATTGTTAAAAAATTAAGCAGTCGATCACGGTGGTAAAAGAATCTTCGAGTAGAAGTATCATTTTGCAGGTCGTATTCACTTTTTTGCAAATCAAGTTTTTTCCTACAAATTTGCTTTGTCGAATCGTTTTCTTCTAACGAAAGTAAAAATCCGATGTAAAGTTGTTACACCGAAATAAAAATTTTACTACACGTATGTGATAATACTGAAGCAAATTTTATGACGTAAAATGACATAAAATCAACGTAAAAGAGGTACTTATTTGACACCAAAAGCATTTACATATAATACATATAAATATATATACATATAAATTATACATATAAATATACATATAAATATATACATATATATACATAATATATAAAATATATATACATATAAATATATACATATAAATACATATAATACATATAATACATATATACATATAAATTGATCTATAATACGGTTCGCCTGCTGCTGCGCCGGATAGTTTTATATTCACGTAATAATTATGACAATATAGAAGAACGATAGTTGCAACAGAATGATTAATGACATCCAT